ATTGATTTTTTTCTAATCCGCCTAATTTTGGGACAAGATGAACGGATTTTGAGGTCGTTGGCCGCAATTGAACGCGCCAAACCCCAGCACTTATAATTTATAAGGACTCTGTAAGACTTTGTGTTTTCAATTTGTTTAAATATTTTGTTTGTGTTTTCAATTGAAAAAGAGTTTAAATATTCTGTTGAATATAGTCTGTTGAAAAAGAGTTTTCAACTTGAATATATTTTTTGAATTGAAAAAAATAAATGTATTATTTATCTATATTTTTTGGTTTTTAAATCTAAATTTGAAAATAATAAATAAAAAAGATGATATATACTGGTTGATTTTTATTTTTAAAAACAGATATAGATGTAACAATACAGAGGCATACAATCTCTACCATTACTCTATTCATGGTTTTGGTGGTTTGAATTCTTTTTATATTTTAGGAATCACAGATTGTAATACTTTATGTGGATGAGGCATGTTATGATTGTAATATGTGGATGAGGTATGTAGTGATTTTAATATTTTTTTAAGTCATTGATGTAATATTTCTTTTCTTTTTTTTTTAGGAAGTGCACAAGTTGAATTATGTTGAAAATTTATAAAATTTTAAACCGCCAAATAGATTCGCATCTATCTGCCAATTTGCTCAATCCACATCTACCGGATTAGCGGACCGATGCGGATTGATTTTCTCCAATCCGCCAATCTGATGGACAGATGATGAATTAGAAGTTCTATGGCCGCAACCGACCCGTGCCCATCCCTAAATAAAACCCATATATAATAACCCATTTAATAACTTGATCCAAAATACAATCTATGGGCGACCCCTACAACCTATGCCCAACAATTATTAGAATTATTATTATACCCTTAATTACTAAAACTTACTATAATGACATGAAGATTTGAAATTATTCCAAATATTTAATTTTTGATGCCCTAAATGCGCTTCATGTGAAATTCCAGATCTGCTTTTCTTTTTTTTTCTCCATGATTCTCATCATTCTCCCTTGCATTCGAAAAAACTCGACCTCGAGTTTTATAATGTTGAAGTATGAGGATTATGGAATCTTGCACTTGCAAACATTTAAATTGATTGTTTTGAATGAACGATGAGAAAATCAAAAAATTCAATGTTGTCATCACTCCATTGACCACATCAAATTTATTAGGAATAACAAACTCAATGTGAACTTCATTTTTCTTGTGAAGACTAGAAAATTCAGTGGCATTCTTATTATTTTCTTTGGCTTTCTTGGCTTTAGATTCTTGATCATGATGATCTTTCATGCTTTCTTTAGTAAACAAATTAATTTTCGCCTTCATTTCTTCAAGATCTTTAATATTAGCAATATGTTCATCTTGCTCTTTTATCGTTTCTTCAAAATCTTCAACACTATCATCCTTTTGCTCTTAGATATTAATCTTCTCCAAAGCAGCAGCCACTAATATTTTCATGAAAGCTTTCAATCCATTCAAAGTTGTCTGGATAGTATGCACATCACTCTTTATTGTTGCAATATCCTCCTTAATTATCCCAAAATCCTCCTTTAACATCACAACATCTTTCTTAGTAGCTCTATAATTTTTTGACGAGGCTTCAAATTTCAAATTTAATTCAATGCTTGTCAACATTGTAATAAAGAAAGAAATTTCATCAAAAGATTGGTAACGAACAAGATAGGATCTTGACACTTTGATACCAAACTAATGTAGGACGAGTATGGATTACTTTCCTACAAGTAGTGAGCCCGGGTTAACTATACTGGCAGCAACAATAATAGACTTATAGGGCTAGATTTGGTGGGAGTTTGTGACTACAAAAGTATTTAAAAATATAGGAGTTTAAGGGTTTGTAAAGGGGTAGGGTTTTGGGAATGAAAACACAAGTGTTTAGAGGCTGTTAGGTGGTTGTTCTAAGCACTGTGAATAGTGATGTGAACAGTGATCTTGCTGGATAGAAGAAGAAGAAAAGAGAGAGAAAGGTGCTTCACCCTCACAACGAATATGCCGATCACACAAACACAATCTTAAATTTTCATAATATTAACTCTTTTTCCTCAATGATTGAGATTACACATATATTTATAGGCTAAAGACTCTCCTAATTCTATAAGGACTATAAATCAAATAGAAACTAAAAATATTTAACAACTACTAATATTCTAGATCTAGACCAACTATGACTTCTAATTCTACTTCAATCATAATAGGAAACTGTAATGATTTCTAATTCTACTCCCATATCAAAATAGAAAACTTGAACTTTTAACTACTAAAATTATTTTAGACATAATAAAACCCATATATAATGACCCATTTAATAATTTGACCCAAAATAAAACCCATGGGCGACCCCTACAACCTATGTTCAACAATTGTTGGAATTACCATTATACCCTTAATTACTAAAACATACTATAATGATATGAAGACTTGAAATTATTCCAAATATTTAATTCTTGATGTCCTAAATGTGTTTCATGTAAAATTCCAGATTTGCTATTTTTTTTCTTTCCATGATCTTCATTAATATGCATATGAAATTACTTTTGATAACAGCATGTGGTCATATAATGTACAATTAGGTATGGATACATTTAAAAATCAATTTAGGTATTGTTTGGGATAAACTAAATAAGTGCATTTTTTGAATATGGGTTGGATATGGGTTGGGTTTGAAGTGATGTGGTAGAGAGGTGATGTGACTTAAATAAGATGATGTGACTTAAATAGGATAGTGACTTTTTGACTTTTTGGCTTTTTTTAGTTATGCCAAACCAAGCCTAAGTAAGACATGTGTAGCATATATGTATGGATAAAAGTACTTACGATGTATCTCTATGTAGAAAAATATGCATATATAAATATATAAATTTGTATATAAGCATAAAGGTATGTATAATACTTATGTGAGAACTTATAGGCATATAAGTGGTCATAAAAGCATGTATAAATAATAAATGTACATGTGTACGTACAGATAATCATACTCATTCATGTGTATAATTTGATGTGTACGGATGCACAAATAAATGTTGTGCAAACACATGCTGCGTTTTTGCTTTCTTCAAAAAAGCAAAAATGTTAAAGCGTTGGATGTGGGTTGATGTTGAAACAGCATGTCAACTTTGGTTCATGGTTATTAGAATCCTGATCCGGATCTTACGATCCTACGATCTTACGATCCATTTGAGTACAATCGATCCGGATCATGTAAAAAACTCCTTATAGGTAGGATCTTTCGATCCTAGTAGTGGGATCTTATAGGATCGTGGAATCCCGATCCGAATCCGATCCTATCCGATCCAATTTATAAGCCTTGTTTTGTATTGTATGACATATTTTGTTGTAAATTTTATGTTTGTTGTCTAAATACCAATTTATGTCGTCAAAATAAATAATAAAAATTAAGTAGTATTGAATCAAATAGACTAAGAAAAACAAACTAAGAAACAAACATTCAAATATTGCGGTAATTTAAGAAAATTAAATAGTCGGAAAAACAAACTTAGCTTTAGCGAAGTCTAAGAAGGGTAAGATGATTGTAACTTTATCCCAATTTCTGGAGAAATTATTTTTGTGACTCGAATCCGCTCCACCAGGGATGCTAACGACAAACATTATCATTCGACTAAGTTACTCTTTTGAATTCTTAATCTATTTTCATTTCCAATTTTGTTAAATATTTTTTCTTCACTTTTTATGCATTATTGTACATTGTAAAGTATTTTGTCATAGAATTCTTCTTCTTCTTCACCTTCTTTTTTGATAAAATACAGAACTTTTACCATCGGATTTTCTATTGCATAATATTATATGTACATTTTACATGGAGTATTATATTTTTCACAATATATTCACTTCTTTTTAATAGAATATAGGTTCATTTTGTGTATATTTTATAAGAAATATTTATTTAAATTAAATTATTATGTACTTTGTCTTTTTCAGTAGGGTCTTACGATCCTCGATCCGATTCTACGATCTAATCCTATAAACACCTCCAACGATCCAATGTAGGATCCCGATTTTAACAACCTTGCTTTGGTTGCACTTAAATGGAACACTTGAAGCTGGATATCAATCTTGTGGAACCAATCCCCCCACCCTTGAAAATACACACACAGGAAAAAAGTAAAAGAAAGATGCAATAAAAAAATAAAATGGGAAGAGAAGGCACGTGCAAATACTTAACATTCCAACCTAGTGAGCTCCACAGCCAAATAAATTGAGGTAACTAACATTTTGTTGAAATTTTTATAGATGATTTGGATTTTCACAGATTCCATGACAGTATTCAAGATGACATCATGCAAATGAATTGCCAGCAGATAGAGATCATGTTCCCTTTATTCCTGAGTATTTTGTAAAATGATTTAATGCCTTGCTAATTTCCATAGACAAAATGCGTGTTAGTGAGAATAGGTTAGTGTCTCCAACTGATCAAGATTAAAGATCTTTAGAGATAATACAAAGTGTGCTTCGATCCTATTTACATATGATATCTTGTATTAGTCTAGGACACATGCTTTTCATGTCATAGTTTGACCAGAATAACTTATGCTTAGTCTTGTGGTCTTTATGATCGGAAACTATTCAAAACAAGATTAATTGGGCAAGTCCCAAGGGCACCGATCGAAGAGCGCTCGAGCGAGGTGGCCCCTGGGAGCTCTGCATATGTCTAGAGCCCTAGGTTTAAAGAAATGTGGTGACATTTCAACTTCACAGAAGTCCATAGAGCTGCTCTTGATGCCCACTTGAAAGTGTGCTTGAGCAGGGTGCTGGGATTTCTGCATAATGGGAGCCCACAGAGGCTTGCTCAGAGCGCACTTGAAAGGCACTCAAGCAGTGCATAATTTTTCATAAGTTGTGCCATGACTTCATCAATACGTTGCTTATTACTAGTCATCTGGTATATAGTTTTTTCTTCTTGAAAATGGTTTGTCAGTGAAAACTGTAGCACTTGATGTCCTGACTTCTCGCAATCCTGTTATTTACAGAGGGATATGATGAATTCGAAAACAATTTGAGGATGATAGTAGATGTACGAGATGTAGCTGAAGCACTGCTATTGGCATATGAGAAGCCCGAAGCCGAAGGAAGGTATATATGCATAGCTTACATGATAAAGTCACAAGATCTGGTGGAAATACTCAGGAAAAACTACCCGAACTACAATTATCCTAAGAAGTAAGTTTCTGTCTCTCCATAATATATTCATCTAAAAGGATTTTCCTGCTGTACGAATTTCTTTTTCATTTTTTTAATTTTATATTATATAATAGATTAGGTATTAGCAGTTGAATTATAGCTATGGTCTATCACCAATAAGTGTAGCTGAATTATTACTATGGGTTACCTTTGTTGGGTTAAAATTTGCTGTTTCATTCAATTACACATTGCCAGATTTACTGAGGGAAAGGAAGAAGAAAAGCTCAGTTCAGAGAAATTGCAGAAGCTGGGTTGCAGTTACAGACCGATAGAAGAAACTCTGGTTGATTCCATTGAAAGCTGTAGACAAGCCGGACTTCTGTACTATATGTATGTATGTATGTATGTATGTATGTATGTATGTATGTATGTATGTATGTATGTATGTATGTATGTATGTATGTATGTATGTATGTATGTATGTATGTATGTATGTATGTATGTATGTATGTATGTATGTATGTATGTATGTATGTATGTATGTATGTATGTATGTATGTATGTATGTATGTATGTATGTATGTATGTATGTATGTATGTATGTATGTATGTATGTATGTATGTATGTATGTATGTATGTATGTATGTATGTATGTATGTATGTATGTATGTATGTATGTATGTATGTATGTATGTATGTATGTATGTATGTATGTATGTATGTATGTATGTATGTATGTATGTATGTATGTATGTATGTATGTATGTATGTATGTATGTATGTATGTATGTATATATATATGTATGTATGTATGTATGTATGTGTTGTGGTCCCATGAAATGCATATGCAGGGCTCAGCAGCAGCACCAGTAGTGTCAGCATGGCACAGAACATGTTGTATTGTATTTGGGACCCCCTTTCCCTGAGTGACCTTAAACCGTAGCCGCTTGCTTCAAAATGGCTCAACTATTGTATATCCCACCAACACTCTCTGACTGTGACTCTTCCCTTATATATGGCCATCAAATTTTGAATATCATTTAATGTGTTACTGATGTATTACATTTCATTCCAAATTTAGTCACTGTAGCATTATTGCATAACTAATGGTTAAAAATATCACCATCCAAAAATGTTGCAGGAGCTTGGAATGTTAGTAGCAAGTCGAGTCATGTTTATTTATTTATTTTGGTACATCAAAGGCCATAACCTGAAGAGGGGGGAATGTCTTGCATCTAGACTCTGACCAACTAAGCTATATTTTGTTTGGTTTCATAATTCAGGATTTATTTTTCAGAAAATTAATTTTTTTATTTTTACTAATTTTTTTTAATATTTTAAACAATTTTTTTTTAATTTTTAGATACACCTAACATAAATACACTTATAAAATATAATATTTATAAAAGAAATCTTTAAAAAATTACTAAATACCAAAAATATAAAAAAAAAATACGAAAATTTAATACATTTTTCGTATTCTTATGTATTTATTGATTTTTTAAAATATTATTTTTTAGATACATCTAAGTAAAGTGCATCTAAAAAAATAAAAAAATTATTTAAATTTTTAAAAATGTTTATTAAAAATAAAAAGACATGAAAAATAAAAAATTAATTTTTAAAAAAAATTATAACCAAACAACGTGTTGTCAAGGCTTTTTGGGTGATCTTTTCCCCCCATTTTTGGAGAGTTGTTTAATGTCTAAGTAAATGTTTTACATTTTGTTTTTGGCTTGGGGTTTTACTCCCTAACATGTCTTGGATGTTTTGGACTTAAGCTTTTATATATGTGTTGGACATAGACTTGGACTTATGTGTGCATTGGTATATGTGTATATGAAAGTTTATTTCCATTCAGGTCCTCACAGCTCATTGGACGATGTATGTTACTATTGATTGGCTTCCGCTTGCCCCTTTATATTGTATTATTGTCATTATTGTAAAACAGGCCTTTGGTACTCATGGATTACTGGCCGGTTACGACACTAACCCCTTAAGGGCGGGTTTGGGTTGTGACAATATTTGACCGATAGTTGACCTTTTTCATGTTCACTTGTTAGGAACTAGCTGTTTGATCGAGTTTGCCTTTGGCACGGGATTCCTCTCTCTTTCTTTTGCCATCAAATCTATAGGAAAGACCTGTTTGTTCAAATACAAACAAATTTAATATTACTGTTCACAAATGAATAGTGATAATAAGTGTAAATTATTATATGCCATACGAATAATGGGATGGTGATGGTGAAATAGTATGTGAATAGCTGGTGCAAATGTTCACGTGAAGATGTGATAGCACATGACAAACCAACATTCACATGAAGATGTGAGAACAGTCACACATTACAACTATTAAACTAACACGACGTATACACAATGTTAATCTTCACATCATCACACTTATGTGTTTGACTGTGAATATTCATAGCCAAATATATGGTGTGAATATTCAATGTGAATGTGACAATGTAAATATTAACATTATATTCACAACGTGAATATTAAAATTATGTTCAGAATATTACAATGTGAATATTAACATTATGTTCAGAATGTAATTATTGACATTATGTTTAGAATGTGCATATTGACATTGATGTTAATCAATAACAAGTGAAATAATATGATGTTATTATTTACAACATGCCTACAAGAATTCACATGTAACCAAAACAAGATTGATAACCATCCATAGTTTGGACTTTTATTATTTCATGACCATCAATAACCAACAGCACTAACAAGTCTGACATTGATGTCACAGTTTAAATATTTACTCACTAACTGATCTAATGTGTGTTTATCCATTACTGAATAGTAATGTGAATGTTCACATCATTGATGTTTACAAAATCAAATCCAAAAATAACAATAGTAATAGGCAATGTAAATATATACATCGGTGATCACATTATGACTGAAAAACAGAAGGTGGAATGATGTTGCTTACTTTTGTTCCTCATTGTGGGTGGGTATGGAAATCGATGGACCACACTCAGTCAACCGACAGGAAACACGGAACAACGAACCACCCTCCTTCCGATGTAAACCTTCGCAGCGGTGAGATGAAGTGGAATAGCAGTGGCCGACGACGGTGGTAAGGCGATGCGAATCTAGGGTTACAGTTTGAGAGTTTTTTGGGGCCGACGATGAGATTTTCTTTGGGAAATCAATGTTTTGTGGATTGAATAGATGAAATAGGAATGGTTTGTTTTCAGAATGGAGTAGGGAAATCCAATCCACTGCTTGTATTGCCATCTTGACCAAATATCGGTGTTTTTTTGTTTGTTTGGTTCTGTACTGTTGTGCTGCAAGCATTGTGTAGCCTCATCTGTGGACCTTTAAAGCAGAGTGCTTTTCTGTTACACTATTACTTCATTTTGCAACTAATTGTGAAGCATTGCTACTTATATTTTTTACTTCTAGGGAACCAGAATGTATTCAGAATATTGAACTGTATTTCTGTTTGAGTTTCTTAAACCATTTTCTATAACTGTAACTTATTTGGTTTTTTGTTTGTTCTAGGTGGGCACAGTTGGAGGTGGGACTCAACTTGCATCTCAATCGGCTTGCCTGAACCTTCTTGGCGTGAAAGGTGCAAGCAAGGAGTCCCCAGGATCGAACTCAAGACTTTTAGCAACCATAGTAGCTGGTTCAGTTTTGGCAGGGGAGCTCTCCTTGATGTCCGCCATTGCAGTTGGGTAGCTTGTCAAGAGCCACATGAAATACAACAGATCAAGCAAAGATGTCTCAAAAATTGCCTCTTAAGAGGAAAGAAGAAAGTTAAACATTCAAAGAGGCTGAGAAGGCAAAATTGGGGAAGAGGAACGATACCCATGGGAGATCGCTTCTTGATGTAGCTGTAAAGGTGGCAATCGTGTGATGGTGCTAACTTGCCTGGTTGTACTTTACTCTTTATCTATATCTCTAAGCATGACATACATTCCCTAGTGACTTGTGACCATTGGAGGCCCCACATATCTGGTTTGTATCGCTTTCCAATTGTGAATTTGAACCTTGTCCTGTTTTCTAGTTGTTTCTGTCATATTATTTGTCCTTGGGGGGCCACATTGTTTCAGAGTTGGATCAATTGTTGTTTCTTCCCCTATTACTTTGTACATTCTCAGAACTTGAATTTGATGATGGATATATATTTTTTGTTTGGTATTAGTATCTGACTATTTCAATTTTGTGTGGGTTGTACCTGGTGTTAGTTTTGTTATCTGCCTCAAGCAATAATCCTAGATAGAAGATAGCATGAAAACTTTAACCAGAATTTCAACATTGAAAATGAAATATTTATGATGTATATTTAAAGTTAGTGTGTTGTAGGTAATGAACTTTATCCGCGCATATCAGTTATAGGTGAAATCCTTAATAATTTTTTCAAGTGCTTAATAATTTTTTCAAGTGCTTATGCCGTGTTCTGCTTTGCCTCGTAATTGTTCTCGACTGTTGTAGCTCAGTTCGAGATTTACAAAAGAGTAGGATTGTTGAAAGTCTATATGGTTTTATTAAATTAGTACATGGTGGAAGCATGATGTATGTGTTCCTTCTCATACGCATCTCTTCCTCTTCCTCGTGTCATTCTGTTATTTTCCCGCTAATCTTGCCGGATACTTAAAATCATCCTTATTTATTTGGTTCACTGGAATGAAATAATACGATAATTTTTTAAGCTCTTATATGGAATGATCATTCTCTTGAAATGGTCAATGATGATTTTATTTACAGAAATAATACAAACTCTTTTTTTTTCAATATTATTATTATTATCTCCACAACCCCTACAAACACATGTTAGCCAGAGATAAGAGGACAAAAAAACAAAAAAAATAAAAAGTTGACCAATCACAATGCATTGGGGTTGGTGGAGGTTTCTCAAAAAGGGGGTCACAACCTTTTTATTTTTATTTATAATGTATTTTGTTATTATCTTTTTAATCCACCAAATATGAAAATGAATATTTTGATGGAATGATCGTTCTATTTCATTTCATTCTAGTGAACCAAACACTATCTTAAAGTAAAACTTGAATTTTTACGAGTCACAAATCACATGTTGTACAATAAGAAAAATTATTAGATATTTCATGAATACCTGTGATATTGTTTACGTGGTGGTACCATTGAGATACTTTTATTGATTTTTTTTCTTTTTATGCATGATGTTTATCAGCATAGTATTGCATGTTGAGAATACTAGAAAAAAAAGAGTCTTGGAATAATATTTATTGAAATTATTCACGCGTATAGGACACATGGCTAATTAGTACATTAATGGTTGTCCATATCAGTCTTTGTTATTTAACAATATAACAATGAATTGACTACGAGATCTTCAATTGAGTCGACTCTTGGAATAATATTTTTTGACATGTGTACGACATATATGGTTAATATATCGATATTAATCTTTTGTAATAAAAATTATAGCGATCCCGGCTTTCCCTTTTGTGTTTAACTATAATCCGGATTCGATTTCGTAAGGGTGCCGTTGTCTTATCCTCTTTCCATCCCTTCCTCTTAGTGTTCGAGCTTTGGGTCGTGTTGGGCAAGTTGGGAATAAATTGGTTGTGTTTTAAAACGTAAAATCTTCGCCCAGTTTTTGGTCTCTCCGCTCGAGCTGAGCTTTTGACGCCCGAGCGGGACTCTGTTGTTGCTTGTCCGCTCGAGTGGGGTTGTTGGCGCTCGAGCGGGGAAATCACCCATCCAGTATTTCGTCTGCAGTGGTAGGCGCTCGAGCGGAGGATTGGCCGCTCGAGCGGAAGTTTGTGTCTGACGCTCGAGCGGGGAGTTTGACGCTCGAGCGGGAACCATGTCTGTAAAAGTTCTGGGAGCGTGCATCTGCCGCTCGAGCGGGGAATTGGACGCTCGAGCGGGGATCTGTGAGTGACGCTCGAGCGGGGAGTTTGGCGCTCGAGCGGGGCGACTTTTATATAAAGCCGAGATCCGACTTTTTTGTTCACTTTTCAACATCCTTTCTCTCTCTTACTTTTCCAAAAAGCTATTTTGAGAGTTCCTCTCACTAAAACCCTAACTTCTCTCTTAGGATTGATCTAGTAGGAGTTGTTTTCTCACCTTGGGCCTTTACAAAAGTTGTGTTGATCGTCGAGGGCTACCTTTTAATATGAAAATTTCGGGATTTGGAGCATTTCTGTTTCTTCACCTCCTTCGTTGGGTCCCATTATTTGAGGTAGGGATAACCTACTCCATCTTATGAGCTTTGTCTTTGAATTTTAGCATTTTGATATGTTTGGGGGTTGTTGGGTAATTTGAGAAAGTTTGGGCCTTTGTGTAATTTTACAAAAGTTGGGGTTTTAGATTTATAAACCTATATGTATGTTAGGCATAGAGAAATGAGATTAATGTTGGGACATTGATGGAAATAGAACCTTAGGGTTGTTTTGCGAATCATGGTAATTTGCCCTTATTGGTTTAATTAATTAATGCATATAATTAATTAAAGAAAATGAGGAATTGAATTGGAAATGTTGAAATTGGGAATGTATGAGACTAAAGGGTGTAGTTAGATCATTCATTGCTCACCTAATTGAAATGTTGATATATTATCTGCTTGTGCATTTATTTCCTGCTTAGAAATAATTGCTTTGGGCTACCGATGGAGGGTAGTGTTCATTGTTGTAGACAATGCATGATGACTAGGCAAACTAAAACTAATCAATTGGATGTGTCATAGAGTATGACGGTTGATAGAATACATTAACTTCATGTATTGGTTGATTGGGCATATGATCAATGTGTTTATATGCATTATGTGTAGACGGTTGATAGAATACATTAATTTTATGTATTGATTGATTGCATATGTGATTCTGTGTTTATATGCATTACTTGTGTATGGGAGGAGATGGGGGATGTACTCCACGGTTTAGGGGAAGATGTGGGATGTACCTCTAAACCAGTTAATGGTTAATGGGAGATGGGGGATGAACCCGGGGATGCAGCTCATATGCTCTCCCATCGTAGTGATGATACAGCTCATATGCTTATCTATTGAAGTGTTGATACAGCTCATATGCTTATCTATTGAAGTATTGATACAGCTCATATGCTTATCTATTGAAGTATTGATACAGCTCATATGCTTATCTATTGAAGTATTGATACAGCTCATATGCTTATCTATTGAAGTATTGATACAGCTCATATGCTTATCTATTGAAGTATTGATACAGCTCATATGCTTATCTATTGAAGTATTGATACAGCTCATATGCTTATCTATTGAAGTATTGATACAGCTCATATGCTTATCTATTGAAGTATTGATACAGCTCATATGCTTATCTATTGAAGTATTGATACAGCTCATATGCTTATCTATTGAAGTATTGATACAGCTCATATGCTTATCTATTGAAGTATTGATACAGCTCATATGCTTATCTATTGAAGTATTGATACAGCTCATATGCTTATCTATTGAAGTATTGATACAGCTCATATGCTTAAAAATAATATATCATTATTAAATTTTTAAGCCTCTTGGAGATCTTCAATTGTTGGTGGTGGTGGTGCATTGATGGTGTGATAATTAGTTCCTATTTGTTTTTATCAGTCTTTGTTGATACCTCACTCTTCGCTGGACAAACCGCGTGACTTTACTTTAAAACCCAAACCAAACGACTCACACACAAACCCTAAAACCCATCCATTCACTCCCTCCCTCGCAGGAGAGAGATATACAGATAGATAGATAGAGAGAGAGAGAAAGAGAGATAGAAAGAGCGGAGGAGGAGGAGGAGTCGCCGCCCGCTGTCCCTTCAGATTCAGGTTTTGCAGTAATTTACCCGCGATCAATCTCTGATTCGTTTCTATCATTGTTTACTTTTTTATTTTATTTATCGTCATCATTTGATTTTGAACTCACTTTCTTGAGTTTTTCCAGACCCTCTCTCTCTCTCTCTCTCTCTCTCTCTCTTGTAAATCTGATACTTGATTCTGCATCTCTCACTCACGACTCACGATTACGTTATGACCATATTTAAATTCGATTTTAGGTGTATGATTTATTGTCTTAGCGGATCGTATAGTTAGGGAACTGACCTTTGTTTTTTTTCTTTAAAAAATAAATCCAAAACATGCTTGATTCTGTTTAAAGATAGTTATATTTGGTGATTTATTGAATCGATTCTGTGGTATCACCTTCCTTGTTATTGTTTGCTTGCTTGCTGCATTATTCACTTATGTTTAAAGAGAAAAACCTGGTCTGTTTCATTGCATGTACATGCTCTTCTTTCCCTACTTTTTTAATGTGTGCATTTTATATTTTGGTCTTGCCTCACTATTAGTAATGTTGGGAATCAAATCTATTTGGTTGAGTTTTATGAATTTGGTTTTTGAAAATTTTTCACAAACCAGAATATAAACAGATGCATTGATATTATATCTCGACTAGTACTACACAAATTATAAAATTGTACACATTTACTTGTATATTTGCCTACCTGTGTTTCTTTGGTCTCATTAATATTCTCTCTTTATATGTTGGAAATGGTAAGCTTTATGATTTTGTTGATTTTCAAAAGGCAGCCATGACTATGTAAAAATAATTTATATTACAAACAAAACTGCTCGTCAATCATAATGTTACAAGTTTGGTTATATATATAGGATTTTAGACTATTTGTGTTGCATGCCTTTTATCTGTCATGATTACCCTTGAAGGTTTTATTAAACACAAATGATGGAGTATGCTAGCTCATTAGAAATAGATGATTGACTCTTTCTTTTGCTTCACTTGGAAACATTGTTGGGAGCATGTATAGTCACATAAATCCTGTATTCTATGTATATCTGTCCTTTCTTATTTTCGTTTTTATTCGTGTTGATGTCTACGATGAATGTATTCCCATGCAACATTAAAATAACGTAAGTAACAAATATTAATCACATTTCCTGCCAATAAATATTTGCTGTATCTTATTATGTACGCCTTTACTGGCTTTTAAAAATAAAAATAAAATAACCAAACTATTGCTGGAGCCAATGTGCTTAGCAATTGGTGAACACTAATGAATGCTTTTGAGTTGATCATTCAACTATGAATGCTACAGCCTTTCACTACAACAAAATTGACTTTTCATAGAACCACATCCACGACATACAATGAATGCAAGCTGTAATTTCTCACTTAAAAACCCCTCTGCAAAGTCTCTCAAGTGAGTCCATATATGACTTGTGTTGTGCACCTCAAATTTTACTGATTTTGAACTCCTAAAAATGTTGTCTTTCACAAAAAAAAAAAATTCAGTATCCCCATCAAATAAAAATCTGTCAGCTTGCCCCACCACTGCTGTCAAATTCATTAATTCTTAAAACCTTTTGATGAGACATAGAAAGTCAGATTATTGGAGCTCCATAAAACCAAACTCAGATTGGTAATTTTAAAAGGTAATTTTAAAATAAGAAGGATATGTATTAGAAAAGTACTCAAAATTTTGAGATTTAGTGATTAGATTCATTCTGTGTGACCCTCACAATAAGAAATTACGAATTCCAGATAGTGTTTTTTTCTAGGTACATAACATTTTTTTTTTCTTGATTTTAAAAAGCGACAATCTTGAATGTGACCATTCTCGTTGAGGTTCCTCCTATTAATTTGATTCCCTACCAGGCTGCCATTTCATTTTCTGAACCTCCTCTCTCTCTCTCTGGTGCTAGTTTGCTCTGGCTGTTGCTTTATTTTCTTCAACTTGCTGTTCTACTCTGGATCTATTAATCTGTTGCTGTTGCTGTTACTTCATTCATGTGTGGTGCTGCTAATTTGTGTGAGCTCTGCTACTGGCTTGTTCTGGCTGTTGCTCTATTTTTCTTCAGCTTGCTGTTCTGATCTGACTTTATTGCTCTGGATCTGTTCATCTGTTGCTGTAGCTGTTACTGGGGCAGTTCAGTTGGGTCATTTGCTTTGTTATTTTGGTGTTGTAATCGGTTTGTTGTGTAGTGTTGTGGAGGTTGGTTTCTCATCAACTTCCTGGGGTGCTAGCATATGATTGGGCGTGCGTTTGGATGCCAACCTAGTTGGGATCCATTTGTTCGCTATGATGCTTGTGCACCCTCTCTTGTTTTTGTTGTAATCTTTTCCATCAATAAAGTTTTCTTCTTATTTTAGGTTCTTTAAGTGTCTAGTGGCTAGCATTTAGCTGCCTGCTCATTGGCTTCTGGTTCTATCAAATACATGTTTTTTATAAGTAAATATTTCTGGTTTGATTAAACATATCATAACTTTACATCGCTGTGAATCACTTGATTATTCTGAAGGTGAACCTTATTGTGAATTCTGTTATATATATATATATATATATAATTTGCTGTGGCAATGTGCACCTGCACCTTATGAGCAAGTAGTTGCTTGTTTTCTACGAAGTAGGGGGAATTAGTTGCTGCCTGAGGGACTTGCTTTTTGATATCATTTTCTGCTATGTCCTATGTGAAGTTATTAATAGTGTTTGAAACTGGAAGTAGTTGCAAACCTGGTTTGGTTTCCCCTAATGTGTGAGTATGCCAACATAGGTTCTTTGATAATAATAATAAGGTTTACTTACCGTTGTACTAAAAATTAATGTTGTGGTAAAAGATTGGCTCTATTAGATTTTGGAAAAAAGTGACTTTCTTGTATGGGGTTCAGAGGTTGACTGTTATTCTCGGAAGGTTTTTAATTTTTTGCAGAAAAGAAATTAGTGTTTGACATGAATTGATGCTCTCTTTACCTTCTCTCACAATGATGGCTCTGTTATCTTATGGAGAGCTTGTTTCTAGTGGACAAGATTTTTAGTGTCATGTTCATTGCCATCTCTATGAAATGGCCAGAATTTAGGAATTCATTTGAGTTGCTGTAACATTTTTGTAGTTTTTTTAATTTTTGATGCTGAAACACAGTAGGTGCTTAGGTGGAGTTGAGCCTAAGCTATGGACGTGGCCGTGGACGGATGGGCAGGGGTCCAGGGGGTGGTAGCAATTAGGCATAATGATTGGGGGTTGGTGTGCTTTGCTTTAGCTGAATGTTTGCCATGGCTTAGTGGTTATCATATTTTAAAGTCTGGTTTGGAAGTTTTGAAATTATGGCTTTATGTTCTTCAGGGTTTTTAAGCATTGATTTTTTTCTTTTTGTGAAAGTGGGCAAAGCTTGTTTTAAACTCTGTTGCTGCTTTTTACATTAGCCAAAGAGCAAGTAGCCAATTTCTAATTGCTATCGATTTCACTATTTGCAGTCCAAGTATATGCTTCTTGTATTTATTCATATATCTTTATTCATAGGTGTTTTTTCTAAAGCTCGTCCCTCTTTTAGTCATGTTCTTTCCATGCTATTTCTTGGTGATGTCATTTTTGTTTATGCTGTTGTGAAGTTTTGTAGTGCACTAAACTAGCATTTATTGTGAAAAGGACCAACTTTATGGTATTTGGTGTTAGGCATTGAAGTTCATGTAGTATTTGCTGAGATTGCTCAACCATTGCGTCACTTGACTCATCTGCATTTTTTTGAAGGTCCAATAAAATATCACTTGACTTATCTGCATTTTTTCAAAGGTCCAATAAAATAAGATCACATTTCACTGTTTAGCTTGAGGTTTCATGGAAATTTTGGGTTATTACGATTATTTGATGTTTGTTTTGTACTTTGTGCAAACTGATGTGGAAACTAGGTGGAGAGGACAAAGTTACGAGATAGGCATTGCTGATGTGTATTGTGGGCATTATCACTGTTTGTGTTTATACCAAATTCGCATTTTTTATGCAAAAGCACACGACTTCGGAAAATATATTCACTGTGTTTGGTTGTGGTTTTTTCAATATAGTTTTTTGAAAATTTTATACAATTTGTTGGTTATTCTGAAAAATGAATTATGTTTTCAAAAAAATGAACGAGCCCTCTGATTCTTCACGTGATGTTATGTTTTCAAAAAAAATAAATGAGCCATCTGATTCTCTACGAATAGGTAGGCTGTAGTTGAATCTACTTCTGCCTCCTCTTCATAGCCTCTGCCTTGCTCTTTATTACCTTTACCAAACATTTTACCACATCTTCACTTCCGTTGATATGCGAAGGTCGGCAACACCAAAGCAACGATGACGGCCAGCGACGAAGACATTGTTCAGGTGTGGTCGCTTTGAGCTCAGGGTGACGAAGATCCGACGAGAAAGAGGTTAGTCGCACTATTTTTGGTGTGATTTTTGGGTTCATTTTGATCTCCATTCCCCCCTTCCATTTTCAAGTGTTCTTCTTCATAAATTTGTAGGAAATGAAATTTTTTTCAACAAATCTATTCTCTACGGTACCAGTTAGACGAAAATGGTACTTGAATCTCAGAACTGAAGTTTTATATATAAACATAAAAATGGTGTGGTTTGATTCATACACCAAATCCCTAGTTGAATCTGAAAAAAAAAATTCAGATTATGAATGTTTAGTTCGCTGCTTTGCTTTTGGAAAATGATTTAATCATTTGAAACCGATAGAAATTTCTCTACCTTCGGGTAACTGGTTTTGATTTCAGAATGTATTTTCCACATTTCGGACATAGTAAGCACAGATTTTATGCTTTCCATTTCGAAAATTAGCTTTATCATATTTTGTTCAGTTCGTCATAGTTTCCCCTTTCCCAACTGTGGTTCCAAAATCGGTATTGAATGGTCATCTCTTACATGAAAATGAAGCAGATTTTTACCAGTTTTCACTGTTCTGGTTTGGTGTACATAAATTCAGATTTGAAGTCCTTCTCTTTTTGTTGGTTTTTGTTGTTTTTACTTATTTTGTTATTGTATTGTTGTCATCGTTGTTGATGTAGTGACACCATCAGTTTCTTGTGGTCGATTCGATCTCCGCTGTACCAAGATTCGTGAGGAAAGGAGTAAGGTCTTTCAGCCCTTGTAATTGTATTAAATGTATTTTTCTTGAACAAGGATATCAAGCCATATTGTTAAAGTGCACTGTGCAGTTCATTTAGGTACACCCCCATTTACTGAAGACGCTTTGAAGACGAAGCAAAAGGCAGCACACACACCAGAGTCATCTTCTTTTGCTGAAAACGACGTGGAGGTAAATATTACTTTGCTACATTTCGTAAATGTGTTACATGCAATGTTTACTCATACAAGAATGCATTAAAACATCAGACCTCTATTCCTTGCAATGTTTACTGAAACAAGAATGCATTAAAACCAACTGTCAGTCAAATGGAATTTGTAACTTGCTATTTTCACCATGGTATGTAAGACCTCATCACTTAACATTTACCCATGATACATGAAAAATTATCACATGTGTCATACGTGTATTTCATAGATGGACAGTGAGGGGTTCGTTGTGGATGCGCAAGAACTGAAGTTGTAGCCAAATAGGATTGAGTTGGCCTTCATCCAACTGATGGTCGAGGAGGTGAAGCAAGACCCCTCATTAACCAAAAAAAACTCTTTTACCACAAGGCATTGGACTCGAATTGACGACGAGCTGTACAGTCAGTTCAGAGTTAGGTACACAGTTAACCGATTAAAACAAAAGTACCACCGCATCAGGCAAGCATACAATACATTTGTGAAATTGAAAAACCATACGGGGTTCGGTTGGGATGAGCAGAGGAAAACGGTCATGGCCCCGGATGATGTCTGGGATCACTATGTGAAGGTAACAACCACCACCGTAGGATTGACTACAACCTTCATACTGCAGTACATTAACTCGAACAATTTTTATTTACCATATCTTTGGTTTTTTATTTTTGTAGGCACATCCCAGAGCAAAAGTGTTCAGGAAAAAAGGTCTAGACCACATAGACTTGTTAGACGTCCTCTTTGCCAACTCCCAAGCCACTGGCGCACTTGCCCGTGCTTCAACCCAAGGACCCCCAACCTCTGATGAAGAAAGGGATATCCAAAGTGCATTCTTTGGTGTTGGAATCAACTCAAATACCGATTTCGTCCCTATTGATGACGACATGGACGGAGATGATGACCCGAAGGTAGGTGGGAGTTTTGACCCGAAGGTAGGTGGGAGTAGTGGCAACGATGGTGGGCGAAAGGGTGCACACTTTGATTTCGCACTTGATACATGGACTGCCACAAACCTTGCCAAAAAAGAATTTTTTGCTCGCCAAAACAAAATGGCTGAAGCGAGCCAGGCTGAGAAACAACAAAACTCCATTGCAGCATGTATCCAATGTTTGGCAACAATGGACGAAATCACTCCCGACCAATACGTGAAGGCGTGTGAGAGTTTCCGCGATAAAGCAATGAGGAAAATGTTCATGTTGATACTACCCAACATGCAGCTGCATTGGGTTCGTAAGCTTGCTTAGGGATGATGGACTTTGTACTGATGCAATTTCGTTTTGGTCAGCATCCAAGTTGTTGTATGTGAGCGTATGTAGCTAAAACACTAAAAATCGGCGCCTACTTTTTTTTTTTATTTTTAATCCGTTTCATTTGTCAACTATGGTTATGTAAGGAAGTTATGGACTTTGAAAGGAAGTTATGGACTTGTATAAATTGTCATGCATAATGCGGTGGTATTCTATGTTATGTTGACTTTTGTTCTTTACAAACACCTTTCTGATTGATTTTCTCATTATATCCTTCATGTACCAGTGCATTTTTTTCCTAGGTGGCTGAAAAAGTTGAAGATCCCTTGAACTTTTATTCTGTTGAAAATGTTCAGCTTTTCAATGCCATGTGGTAGTTCCTTAGTTTGTTTGGACATATAAAACAAATCAATGTTTAATTATGTGGTAGTTCCTTAGTTTTCTTGGACTACTATGTGGACTCTAATTATGTGAACTCTGATTTCACCTCTGGTCTTTTAAAGTACACAAACAGAACTTTTATAAGTAGAAAAATGCTTGAAGATCCCATTTTTTGAAAACTCTCACAATTGTTTTTAGGTCTCCATTATTGATGTATGTGTAGGATTCATTCATGTATATGTGGGTGGAGGATAATTTGTTGCTAATAATTGTTTAAATTGAAGCTTTCTTGCTTATGTAAAGGTTAATAAATACAGTTATTATAATCTACATCATATATCTAATATTTTTTGATAATATATACTTCGTGCACATTTTTTATATTATAATCTCCATGTCTTCATTAGTTGTGATTTATTTAAAAGGATATTATTCTGGATCTCAATTTCCTGCATTTATCAGAGCCTCCGATATGGCGATGCCAAAATTACTTTATGGCTTGAGTTAAGATTGGCAGTCAAACATGCAGCACATATGTGCTTTTAACATGAAGGAAAAAAGCAAAAATAGGGTGTCCTTATATATGAAAATTAGTGAAGTTGAATTTATATATGAAGTTGAAGATTAAGAAAATTAGTTGATTTAGGAGTTTAATTTATATATGAAGTTGAATTTGTTTCGGATTTTGTTTCTTTATAGGATTAGTTTGGTTTGCCTGTATATGTGGCTTTGGTGTAATGAATTAGGATACTACTATAGTGGTTTGAATTGTGTTCCATTTTTCTCCTTTGTTTTATTCCCTTCTTCTTCAGGTCATTTTATGCCACATAGACTGTAGTTGCTTTGTATGGTACGTGGACTCTTCTAAATTAGTGAAGTACATCTAACGATACATAGAAGGCCTTTTTTTTTCTTGCTGCTTTTCTTATATGCTGTAACTGACCTCCCCTGGTGAAGCATTTTCCGCGCAAGCATTTGCATAAGAACATTTATATATATATGAAAAAAAATTGAGTTATGCAAGCAACCACACAATGCTAACTTGCTTACTGCATATATGATATTGGTAAAATTGGTTAATATTTTGTCAGCCTTATTTCATTTGACTTTCCTGAGTTGCTTATAATTATGCTGCTACATAAACTTGGCTTCATATTAAAACTGTTCTTTAGTCCTTCCTTTCATAGGTTGGATCAATGTTATGCAACTTCAATGACAGAACATTCAAAAAATTCCATTCCAAACTATTTCGAATTGATCATGGTCTACTGATCCGTTCTGAATTGATTCAGATTCTGTTATTGATCTTTTTTTTTGAATCTACGCATCTGCTGCACAAGTTACTGTTTAGACAATGCACTAAACTGCATGCAGGAGTTTCGTTTTATTACATGTTGGCTTGTAACCTTGATGATAAGCCTAAAACGAGTTAAAATTATGGCAAAAAGGGCTTAAGACTTATACGAAAATATTTTATCTGTATATTTTTTGAGGTGTGTCTGGTTGTTATTTGAATGAACCTATTGATTGTTCTGTTCGCTGTACCATTCATCGTGATTCAATGGATCTCTGAAATTGCTGACTGCAAGGCTAAGTGACTTTAATTTGCTGGGCCACATGATATCTGCTATACTAAATGTGTTTTGCCTTCCCCTCGCATGTGTTTTTTTACCTAAAACTCTCATAAATCTATGGAATCAGAAAATTATTTTCCCCAATTCCATCGAAATTGTAATATTGTAGAGAGTTTCAGAAATGAGTCAACATTAGGGTGAAAAGGGTTTAACAATTTATTGGTAAACTTTTTTCTGTATTTTCTGAAAGGAAGTTATGGACTTTGAAAGGAAGTTATGGACTTGTATAAATTGTCATGCATAATGCGGTGGTATTCTATGTTATGTTGACTTTTGTTCTTTACAAACACCTTTCTGATTGATTTTCTCATTATATCCTTCATGTACCAGTGCATTTTTTTCCTAGGTGGCTGAAAAAGTTGAAGATCCCTTAAACCTTTATTCTGTTGAAAATGTTCAGCTTTTTAATGCCATGTGGTAGTTCCTTAGTTTGCTTGGACATATAAAACAAATCAATGTTTAATTATGTGGTAGTTCCTTAGTTTGCTTGGACTACTATGTGGACTCTAATTATGTGAACTCTGATTTCACCTCTGGTCTTTTAAAGTACACAAACAGAACTTTTATAAGTAGAAAAATGCTTGAAGATCCCATTTTTTTAAAACTCTCACAATTGTTTTTAGGTCTCCATTATTGATGTATGTGTAGGATTCATTCATGTATATGTGGGTGCAGGATAATTTGTTGCTAATAACTGTTTAAATTGAAGCTTTCTTGCTTATGTAAAGGTTAATAAATACAGTTATTATAATCTACATCATATATCTAATATTTTTTGATAATATATACTTCGTGCACATTTTTTTTATATTTAGATGCTGTAACTGGAACAGTCCCATCTCTGTGTGTTCTGAATCTGTAACTGGAACAGATGCTTCTCTGTGTATGTTAAATTTGCATTATGCTGCTTTCTGTTTTCTGCATTGGGAACAGATGCTTCTGTGTGTTCTGAATGTGTGTTTACATATTTAGATCCATTTTTACATGTTTTTACAGAAGGCCTTAATTGGGTGCTTAAATAGATTCTGTTAGTCTTAATTTTAAATTTGCTGTGTTGCTGGCAAGTCTGTG